TACAGGGAAGGTTAGGGTAGGGGGTATAGTACTATCAAACTTGATCAACCGGCATGGATTGATGGGGGGGGGGCTATGAGTAGACAAGAGGAGAAGAGGTTAGTTTTGAAAAGGGACTGGAATAATGTGAGGGTCTCAGAATAGCGGAGATCTTTGCATCAATATGCTCAAAACGTTTTTTTTGAAAATGTAAAAAAAAATTCTAAAATGATAAATTGTAAAAAATTAAATATAAAATATTTCTAATGTGAACCAAAATATAATACTAAATATTATACAAGTAATTTTTCTTAACGGAATTAACAAAAATGGCATAAAAACACATTATTCTAATACGGGTCCTTTTAGACCCACTTATGGAAGAGTATAGGGTCCAGTCACTTGTGCATCTAAGGGTTAATAATAATTGTAATATTCCAGTTATAATCGACATGAATCAAAGATGTGTTGCTGTATTTTAGTGGTAAAAAATAAATGCATTCACCATCATAATTATTCTATATAATTTACACCAGTGCCTGTAAACCGGAGGAGAACGCTGGCATTTCTCCTCCTACTTGAAATACTACGGAGGGATAGGGTCTGCAAAATTAGTTTATTTTGGGGATTGATTGGATGCTCTGACCGGTCCACTTCCTGCCCGGCGCTATACAACGCCTCTATGCAACGTAGAATCAGGGGTTCCCTAGATTCCACCGGGTCCGTGTTCGTTGCGTTACGGCCGCGTTATGGATAATGTTACGGAACTGCGAGCCCTGAAATGCTCCTGAAACGCGCCCGGGTAGGGTATGACGCCGGAGGAGGTCGTTCCAAAACCGCGGCGCAGCCGTGACGCGACGCAGACGGACCCGCTGGTATCGAGGGGTAGTGGCGCGGCAGGGTTTCGCCGCTGCGAGGCTCCCCCCGTCGACGCTCGCGAAACAGAGGGTCTCATCATATAACTTTGCGTGGGGCCTCATGTTGGCCAGGGACGGCCCTGCGTGGACATGTGTGTTTGGAAAACTTGTGAGCCATAAAAGTTTATTTGGCAAAATTAAGATTTAATAATAACGAGCCATTCATCGGATGGCTGTGGGCTGAAGGTGTTATAGATCAGTTGACACCATTTCAAATACCAAGCAGTGTAAAGGGGGACAGGGGCTCCTGTGTTTGTGTTCTCAACATCACTGTGCGGGCTGCGCGTCATTCCCGTGTTTTGAAGCGCGGTTCAATGCACCTTTACGTCACACTTCTTATTTGTGCAACACATTTTTGGCTGACAACTGACTGCTTTAAGGTTGTTGTTGTTGTTGTTGTTGTTGTTGTTGTTATTATTAGTATTATTATTATAGGTCAAACACAAGGCAGCAGGTGGGGATATTGTTGATGAAGTCTCATAATGGCAGCAGGAATTCCATTATTAATGGGGGCAGCCATTGTTTTAATTGCTGTAACATGCTTTACATTTTATATATCAATTAGGGATACCTTCACAAACTTTATCATTATTTTAAGTTTGATTGTAATATTAAAGATGAACGTCTAAAATGTAATTAGGAATTACTCTTCAATCAATTGCTCTGTGGTGGAATCAACATTTTACTATCTGAATCAAGAGTTTTAAATTCACTAACATTCAGCTGCATTATGATTGGTGGAATTTACGTACATTTATTATGTACAATATTGAGGTGCTGCACACTTTACAATTAACTCCACCTTTACCGGCTGCAACATTAGAACAATGTTCACATGAATGCATCACCAATTAAAATATATTTTAATATGAAGTGAGTCAATTTGCTAAATGTTACTTCTAGTCATTTCATTCAATGTTGTTTTATTTTAAATTGTAGCAGACAATTTTTACTCCATTGTTTTACTACCTTCAATATGGTTAAATATCTGAGAACAATATCTATCACACAGATTATATTACAAGGCAAAATTAGAACTAAATTGACTTTGAAAAAAAAGATGTTAACAGCAGTGAAAGGACACAAGACACTGATTTGAGTTCATCTTCAGCTCAAACTTCCTTATGTCCCCAGACTGCATGAATGCACACGAGCACACATCCATCAATCAGTGAGTTATCCATTGTCTACCTCATCTCCTGTTGAACCTCAATTCTAAAATAAAAAATCCCACCAATCATGTTTCCAGTTGGCGGGACAAGTGACAAGATGACTTCCTGTTGTCATTTAAATTATCAGCTCAACATACACTCACACTTTTATATGCTAGAATATAGTCCTAAAGTATATTGAACCAGTACACTTTATCACACTTGAGGGATTTCACAAAACAAATGGAATAGTTGATCAAATCAATTACTTATGTTCCACTTCAAATCCCTTAATTTATATTTTTCATTGTGGCACTCTAGCTCTTTGAGGATTTTGGCTATGTGCCACTTGGCTGCTGTTTTTTGTTCTTACATTTATGGACATCTAATTCAACTCCAATGACAGTACTTGGAACATGCTTATCATTTTCTAGGAAGATTAACTTCCCATTAAGAGAAATGGACGGTTGGCCACTGGCCCAGGAAATTTAGTGGAACGTTTCCCTAATAATATTGGCACCTTGCCCAGAATGCCTCAAACCCATGTGTTGTTGTAAGGTGCAGAGGTATACATAACATAGATTGTTTAAAGACAAAACTCGCCTTAGAACAGCCCCGGGGTTCAGATACTGCTTGGATGGTCCCATTTCCCAAACTGCCAAACTGCCAGACAGACAATCCAAGCTGAACATTGCATTTCCTTAGTATAGTTAACATGTATTGTTTTCAAGTATCACATTTGTGTCTGCATTTTCCCTAATTTACTGTAATCCTAACAGACACCAGCACTACCTCCTTCAACATGGATGGCTACTACAATTGGACGTCAATATCTGACAACGTCACCTTGCCTTCCTCCAAGCCCTACCCAAGCTACCCCAGCCACAAAAATAACTCAGACTCGCCCGAACCAATGTCCTTCAACGTGGGCACTGCAGTTGTCTACAGCATCGTCTTTATTGTGGGTCTTCTGGGTAATACTCTTGTTATCTATGTGGTGGTTCGCTACACCAAGATGAAGACTATAACCAACATGTACATCCTCAATCTAGCCTTGGCGGATGAACTCTACATCCTGGGAATTCCTTTCCTAGGCACCAGTAGTGTGCTTTCCTACTGGCCTTACGGAGATTTCTTCTGCAAGGTGTACATGACTGCTGATACCATGTGCCAGTTCTCCTCCACCTTTTGCCTGACGGTGATGAGCATCGATCGCTACATGGCTGTGGTTCATCCTGGTCGCAGTGCCAATTGGCGGAAGCCCCAGGTGGCCAAGACTTTAAATGGCATGGTGTGGGTTGTGTCCTTTGTGGTCGTGCTGCCCGTCACGATCTACTCACATGTACAGGAGGAGTTCAACACCTGCAACATTACCTGGCCTGAGCCGCACGAGTTGTGGGCCATTGCCTTCATCCTGTACACATCCATCCTTGGCTTCTTTGGTCCTCTGGTTGTCATCTGCCTCTGCTACCTGCTCATTGTCATCAAGGTAATGAGATAAATAGAACTGGCCTTTGGCTTTCAATGGTCTCTAAATACACACCCCTGCCTCATATTAAGATTAAGTTAAAAAACAACAATATAGTTAATGTTCTAATTTTAAACTAAGGATAACTAAAGCGTAACAAAACTACTTGCTTGTGTTTAGTCCACACTACTACTTGTATAGCTCAAGTAAAAGATCATGCTTGTCTTAAAATAAGTATGTGTTTTACATTGACATTAAAGGTAGGGTAGGTAAGAATGGAGAAACCAGCTCGAGTGCGCTAGAATTTGAAAATACGCAGCCGAAAAAAATCTGCCCCTTCCTTCAGACTTCCTTACAGAGCCCCTCCTCCAACACACAAACGCCCAAATGACCAATGAGGGCACGAGATAAGTTTGTGCACAGATGGAAGGCTGACAGGCAGGTAGGCCATCCAGTTATTTTAGCCGGGCCGGCTAAAATGATTGGTCGTGCTTTTTAAAGCGCCACGGCTTCCACAGATGACATTTTTTAATGTATTTATTGTCAAAGCATTTAATGTATTCATTGCTATCGATGTTAAGAGCATTCCATGAAATATAACAAAAAGTATTTCTGAAAAAAATTACCTACCCCACCTTTAAGGTATGAAGTAAATAAAGTAAACATTGACTCTTGCCCCTGCCCTCCACACTGAATGGACGTCTATAGGCGCGTTCACACCAAGTACTTTTCCCACAAAGGTTCCTGAGAACTCTTTAGTTCTCATGAACTAAGTACAGATCGCGTTCACACCGGAAATTTGTTCCTGGGGGTGGATTAGGCAAATGAAGCCGCTGACGTCACTTCTTCTTCTTCTGCTTTGGGTTTAATGGCAGGCCGCAAACAACTTCACGGCGTATACTGCTGCCCAAAATCCCCGGCCGGAAGTCCCCGGAGTTAGGGACTGGCTTCAGTAGAAGCTGCTGGGACTCCCAGCAGCTTCTACTGAAGCCTTCCGAAACGGCCAGAACGCCGACACCTCCTCATCTCCACCGCTCCCATGTTTTATTTTGTGTTGTCATAAGTTAGTCTCTCTGCGTTTCTGCGCTGGACTAATGCTAATGCTAATAATGCAATGTGAGGATAATAAAATGGCGGCTTCACAAACGTTTTTGGGAGTTTGACGGGGCGTGGTTTGCATTCCGCCCAGCCAATCAGACACAGGATCCTTTTTCTCCCACGACTGGAAAGGGGGTAAAAAAAGTTCTCTAGAACTAATTTAGTTCCTGGGACTTTTTGGTTTGAACGCAACTAAATCGTAGTTCTTAGAAACCTTTGTGGGAAAGTACTTGGTGTGAACGCGCCTTATGGATCATGATTAGAAACATATCTGTAATATATTGTATATCTGTATACAAACGTAATCTGGGGCAAGTTTTGTTTTCCTCAAAAAGTTATCGAGAATGCAATTGTGTTGTATGGCACCCAATTCCTGGAAGATCAGGCTGGAATACACTTTTGAATTTCCCTGTAGCTTCGTCCGTCAAAGTCTCATGAAACCTTCTCAATGTCCCATCTCACTTTCAGGTGAGGTCAGCGGGTGTGCGTGCAGGCCGGACCAGGTGGCGTAGATCAGAGCGGAAGGTGACACGCATGGTGGTGATCATCGTATTGGTGTTCGTACTTTGTTGGCTGCCCTTTTTCACTACCAACATGGTCAACCTGATTCATATCATCCCTGAGAGCAATACCAATGCTGCCATCTACTTCTTCCTGGTCATCCTCACCTATGTTAACTCCTGCGCCAACCCAATCCTCTACGGCTTCCTATCTGACAACTTCAGGCAGAGTTTCAAGAAGGTGCTCTGCAACCAGAAGCCAAACACTGCTGGGAACGCAGGCCAGATGAGAGGTAGACCGACTTCCCCCAAGGAAAACCACAATCCTGTTTCCTCGCGAGAAAATCACACACAGAATGGAAACGTGCAGAGCATTCAGGTATTGTGTAAACCATATTCATGTGATCCATCTAGTTTCTGATTAAAGCCAACATTCCGACCTCATGCCTAATAGATTTTACAACTGGTATACTTAACCATAAAGAGGCCCTTTTATGCCTTTTTGGGGTTTTCCCTTTCCTGTAGTGTGTAATATAGGTTTATGTGTGTGTAAATGGTCTACAAAGGCTAAAATCACAAAGTTCCCCCCCCCCTGCCTGAAACGCCTCACAACGTAACACTCACGCTTCCATTGCACCAACACATTATACTATTATGATATGCTGAGTGCCTATTGTAGTAGAGGCTCAAAATACAAATATGAACCTGAAAATGAGCATAATAGGGCCCCTTTCAAAAGAAGGACCCGGGCAGGCATAATCATTGTGTTTAAAAAATATATAGCCTTGTCATTGTATTGTATTATTTAAAGTCATACTTATAGTAGAAACATGTTTCATAGTTGAATGAAATGTCAATGTTTTTTCATTTTGTCTTTATTGTATTCCTAATCTATGTGTCTGTGGTATGTTTCAGCAGCCTGTCCAAATGCCGGTTAATGAGGACCTTGACAATCACCCTTTTACTACAAAAACAGAGCTGAATGGCCAACAATTGCTTTGAGTTTTCAAGCAAGGTGACCGTGATCTAGTCTGCTACAAAATGGGACGTGGGACTGTTCACTCCCAGACAATTTTTTGATAGGTATTTCCTGTCTTTATTGCTGATACTCCCTATCTGACAGGGACTTTTGTAGAGAAGACCAGAGTGAGCAAATAACCCTCATTACTGATTTGTGTTTGTTCTCTATGTCTTTGAACTGTATTTAGGATAGCTGCAGTGTACAAGGCTATGTAAAGATGCAACATCTCAAAATGAAACAAAACACGTTTCAAAAGCTTTACACTCTCAAACAGCTGTTTTTAGCTTAACTGCATAGAAAAAAATACAGGAGGCATTTTTCTCCAATTTATTTTTCACATTTGATCATATTATAGTAAGAAGCCTTGTTAAATGTACTGCTGGTGCTTTTTGCTATTGATGCAATCACTGTACTGTATACCTGTTATCTTGATGAAAACTGTATAATGTACATTAGCCAGCACTTGAAACACCAGTGTGTGCAGGTGGACAGTTGGGCAGGTAGACGGGCAGGTAGGCCGTCCAATCACTTCTTGCAGGCCAAATGAATTGATTGGACAGGCTTTTTCCAGGCCTGCAAAAACTTCAGTTAACGTTTGTAGTTTTTTTTTTAAATTTATTTATTGATAATTGTTGGAAAGTAGAGAATTTCAACAAAAACAACTATTTGCATATACCCTAGCTTTAACATTCAGGGAAGAATCTTGGAAATATTTGTTTCGTAAACACATTTTGTTTCTTGTAAAACGCAACTATTCCAGCAGAAAGTGGTTGATTGATCCTTTCATCTAACAGTCAACAATAAATGATACAGCTGTACTTCCCCAAATATTAATCTGCTTTTTTAAAAGGAGAATCTCTGATATTTGGTGCTGCGATACATTATGCTGAATTTATCATGTGAGCCATTATAGTACAGATCATTTCACCTTGTTTTTTTGTTTTTTTTACCGGGAGTTACGGTAATATTAAAATTCCGCAGTTGTTCTCTTTCTTACAGTAAACTTGTGCTGCTTTAAGTAGATTGAGCACTGCTCTTTTGGTTAGTTGTAAAGCTTGTTAAAACATTTGTCGTAACCATTACAATTATATTTTTCCTGGCTTGTTAGATAGGGCTTTTTTGTGACATTTTAACATCAATGTAACTAATCTATGAACATTCCTTGAAGTAGCTCAGCAAAGTATTGTACATATACGTCTATCTCTTCTATCTTATATTTCTAAAACAGAATCTGCTGGAGCAGATGTCATGGAGAAGTAAAGTGAGCATTTAGCTCCTGGACTTTGAGCTTTCATATTGTATGCCAACCTTATTGGGAAATTGCTGTGGCAAATGTTAACGTAAGCCAAGCAAAACCATGCTAACAATGTTTGTGGTGTGTTTGAGTTCAGCAAGAAGGACCTGTGGAAAAATGGATACCTTGAAGGATACATTGTTTGTGTCTGAAAAACACTGAATTAAAACCAAAATAAGATTATAGGCCACTTTAGTTGTGGAGTTTTGAGTTCTACATCCTTAAACAAATAAAAGATCTAATGTCAGAAAAATAAAATCAGATGACTTTCAATTTGTGTTAATGGTGGTGGGGTTTTGTTTGTTTGGTTTCCTCCAAATTAAAGCTATAGATATACACTTCACTTTTTCCCGTTTTGAAGTATATTCGATTACAATGTCATGAACACGTTGAAAGACTTACTGGAACTTTCATCCATCTCCATTCTCAAGTTGAATAAATGCATAATAGTATGGGTCTTAAGTAACTACTTTTTAACTTGTTCAGAAGGCACACAAAATAAAAAATAAAACTGAGTAAGTAAGAAGTGATACAACAAAATAGGAAAAGCTGACTATAAAACATTTTTGTAAACATATTTTAGGATGTAACTTGAAATCAACATAATGTGCAAATGTGCAGAAAAAGAAATATTTCAAATTAAAAATTAACTAGAGAACTCTCTTAAACACTGGATAACTAATTGTGGGGAGAGTTGTAAACTCAACAATAACACGTCATCTTTTAAGCTGATATAAAAAACATGTCAGCTAACAATTGGTCATTTACACATCTAGCAGTTAACTTATGCAGGTTGAGATGTAAACAAAAAGTAAGTTTATGCATATCAACCTGTTATATTACAATGGATTTGTACTAAATTACAACACATATTATTGACATTATTTGATTCAGTGAAGCTTATAATACTATCTAGTCTATGTAATGTAACTCATTTCCATCGCTGTACAGCATGGGTTTCCAGTAGCCTTCATCATTTTCTCCCCCTGAGCATTTTCAGAATCATCAGAATACCTTTATTAGTCCCACAGAAGGAACATGTACGTTGTTACAGCAGAAAAAGAGCCAAAGACAGCTTTATGTTACATAATATGTTACATGTATAAAAAAGTATTAATGTAAAAAAAAAGTTAGAATAAAAAATAGAATAAAATAAAAGGTTACACAATTTCCAAAAAGACACCCTGTAACAGTTCTGTGGATTTAGCAGCCAGGTATACAGTATATTGCACACTTATTAACGCCATATATATATATTGCACAAATAGCACATATTGCACATAGTTTGTTGGGATTTCCTCTCTTTGCCGCTGCGCCTTCCACTTGTCTTTATGTCCCCTCCCTCACTAGTGCACTTCTATAACATATACGCAGCCCTTATTCTATGTTTACTGACAACCTGTTTGTGTGGCAGGGTGTGGGGGTAGAAACACACTCTGTGCCTTCTGCAGCTTCTGGTTACCTCTGTGGTTGGGGTAATGCTGCTTTTGTTCCATCGACCTCAATGTCAAGTGAAGGACACGTATTTTTACCAAGCAGAGAAAAGAGCACATTACAACTTGTTTAGTCTTTAAGATGATTCCGAGAAAAACTAGCCATGAGAGGCCGACTTCTTTTCAAAGAACTTAAACAAAGGAAAAACTAGAATAAACAATTAAGGCCTGAGGACTTTCTAAGGTCAATATGCTAGCAAATGCCTCCTGTCGCTCGCAGATAGATAGATATTGTAGTTTTCACAGTTTGTACAGTATTTCAATGTAAACAGGAATTCCAGGGATTTATTGTTTTCTGGGAAGACACAAATCAGACGCCATCAAACTGACCACTAATGGCTTTGGACACACAAGATGTGTTTGTTGACAATTCAGGGAGAGAAGGAAGAAGGTGAGTAACTTGTTTGTTTAAATAAACAACATGTCAGTGCGTGTGGTGAGAGCAGAAAGGAATTCAAGCATTTATTTAAGTGGAGGTGAAAAAGACAGTGGCTGATATTTGAAAAGTAAATGGTAAAAGTTTAATCCTCAAGAGAGTGTACATTATAATTGTGCATCATTGCTGCTTTTTTAAAATTTGTGTTGCATTGCAGCAAAACAAGAAGCCAATCACAGCCCAACCTGAAACTAAGATAGTTTAAAATTTCTAACACAGAGGTAACCAGAAGCTGCAGAAGGCACAGAGTGTGTTTCTACCCCCACTCCATTAAAATGATGGTTCTTCCTGGCCTGATTAAGTTGAACCCTGATGTATTAATTAAAATGGTCATCAAGATAATAGACCATCTATCAGCGCATGGCTATCATAACAAAGTTGCAAGTGAATCCAGATCCCATAGCAGACAAACAATAATCTGATTGTGTTTTCTCCAAATGATCTAATAAAGGAAAATGCTATGAGCAAATGGAGCCATTGCTGAGGACAGGAAGATCTGTAGGATAGCATGATGGAAATACCGGAGATCGGCTGTTTGTTGTTTGTTGCAGCCAGTGGCGGTTCTAGACCAATTTGACTGGGGGGGCCAGGTTGGGGCCAGTTATTTTCTGAGGGGGGCACAATAAATGCAGGACGAAAAAGACAAAGAAAGTATCAAGTCATTGCGCATACACCTAAGAAAACAAAGCAATAAAGTTATTGGTATTTGTTTCATTACACGTTTTCAGTGTTTACTAAAAGAAAATGTATGCAATTTAATTATTTGAACCTGCTTTATTTGGGGCTGGACCTAACCTTCTCTATGGGGGTCCGGGGGCATGCAGCCCCAGGAAGATTTTTTTTGAAATGTTGAAGTTAAATGCATCAATCTGGTGCACTTTGAGCACAAAAATGAATTTATGGATACAGCTCTCAACACTCATGAAAGAGAGCTGTATACTTTCAATAATCAACAAATCTTTAGAATATGATCACAACCAATAACAAACCATTTAAACTAGTTTATTCTTATCTTATGTTACCTAGTTAGCATTCTTTCTTTTTATTTATGCATATTTTACTAATCACTCCCCTTTCAAACTGTTTTTTTTTTTACTGTCCTATACACATTGGAACTATTTCTTTATTTTTTACAACACATCAAATAGATAAAGGTGTGCTCTCTCTAGCTCTCTCTCTCTCTCTCTCTCTCTCTCTCTGTCTCGCTCGCTCACAGAGGCTGTGTGCTCCTCCGTGGCGATGACGGTTTGCGTAAAAAAAAAAATATATATTTGTAAAGTGGGGGCTATTGAGGGCTTGCGAGATACCGGTAGCTCGTGATCAACGTGTTGGAGACCCCTGCTCTAATGGGTCCGACTAGAATGACAAATATCGTTACTTCTGCCTATTCTGTCAGCCAAGAAATCGTTTAATCATAAACTTTTTTTCTTTTTTCAGGGGGGCCACAAGGGGGTCCAAAGTCAGTATTAGGGGGGCACTGGCCGTCCCTGACCCCCCCCCCCCCCCAGAACCGCCCCTGGTTGCAGCAAAGCTCTTCTTCCTAATAGTAACTGTAGGATAGGTAGTCATGTTAGTATCATTGATGATGTCAATAATGTCTGTATTATATCATATTGCAATTAATCGATGTCTCCCCATCATGTATTCCAAAAAATATATGATTTTGTTAAAGTTTTGTCTACCCTTATTTAATTCCAGTGGACACAATAACTTGATTTAAAAGGTTTGACCAGAAGTGTGTTGTGTAGTAGTTGAAACACCTTTTGATGTTCATTGACCTCCAGTGGTCATTGTTAGAAACTGCAATAATAAAGCATTGGTTTAAAAAGGATTATCATACTCATGTGACTACAGTGACAGGTTTGCATGCTTTAATGTTCCAAAAGAAAATGGTCTCATACTGCCTGCTGCAGCACCTCTTTTCACCCTCTCTCTGGAACCAGTGCTCTCTGATTCGCCGGCTACGTAGTGATTGGTCAACCGCTTAGAGATGTCCCACCCCTTAGCCTATCATGTATCATGTGTAGGAGCGCTAGCCAATAGAAATGTGAGTGTTACGTAGTGATATCACTATGTTACAGAAGTAAACAAAGGAGTCCAATGTAGACAGGGGGTTTTAACCTTTGCAAACATACCCAAAAATCTATATATAACACACTTCAGGTAGGGAAACTCCCAAAAAGCATAATAGGGCCCCTTTAACATTAGTTTATATGTATTATATTACCAAAAATGTATGAACAGCAATAGTTCAGCAGATTTTTAAGTGAACATTACAAATAAGAGTATAAAAGTATTGTAATAACTATAAGAATACAAAACGGATACAAAAAGTTGCAATATAAGATGTTATATTTATGGAAGATAATGTTGGCCCTTTAGCTTTGAGAATCCATCCAAACTATGAGCTACAGTCATGTAACTACTGTATGGATTCATTGTGTTTATTATTATTTTAATGTTGTGAGGAGATTTTTTTTATTTATAGCATAGATAAATGAAAATTAATAGTGTTTTGTAGTTAAGTAGTGGTAATATTGCTTTTAAAATGTTGATTATACTAGACTAAACAAATAATCAAAACAGAAATTGGTTTACTTACTAAGGATTCATATGTCTACTCTTTAATGGTGACCACAAATATGCATTTACTTTAAGCCTTATGGTTGAAGATCTGTGATTCGCTTTGGGTTAGTCATTTGGGGCATTTTTTCCCTATGGGGTTTAAGGGGTTATAGATTAAATTAACAATTTAGCCAAGAACCTGGTCTAAATTATGAATCGAAAACTACAGTCAGTCATCTTGTGGTTTGCATGGTCTTATTGAATTATATGTTAATAAAAACACATGTTGAATCTTGTTTGTTGAGCTGAGAAGATGTATATTTTATGCATATTTCTTAAACCCAATGCAGCATGCAGTGCTTTGTATTTACTTTACAACCCACCACCTAGGGGCAGTATTGTATAACTCTGAATCCTCTCACTCTGCTCCGAATATTTCACTTTCCTGAGAGACAAACAGGTAGCCTGGCCAGAGGGAGGTGGTGCTATTGCGCACACGGGCGCTCAACCTGCGCAAACTACAGCATAACTGCATGCATATTCTCCGATCAGTTGTTATGGATAAATGTGGAGGGAGAGGTGAGGCCCTGCTGATCATTTCGACTCCAACACGTCTGCAGTCACATCAATGATGCTCTCCTGGAGGCTCTGAAGTCTGTGCGCGCTGCAGCGGATCAGTTTTGGAGTCGCCAGCAGTGCGCCTCAGCTGGACACAGGACACACGATCTGGAGGACTGGCTTCATC